TTGAAGCAGTGCTTGTATTGTGAATTTCCTTTTTCATTGTTTAAGAAAAAGATATTTGCTATACAATCAGCAAATGTCAACAGATTTCCAGGAGGAGCACACACAAAGAATCCAAACTTTTCTGCACTTTAGGATTATCCAGGTATAATCAAACAATTTCCCGATCATAAGAATTGGAGCCAGTACTATTGGTAATTGACATCATCAAAACTATTGCTTATTGCAGATCTTACCAATAACTGCCATGAATGGACTGCTGGTGCAACAGGAAATCTTAAAGGTTGTGAAATTTTTACTTTCACAACCATTTTTATATTACAGCCATTCCAATATTTCTAAAAATGGAAACATTTGTATTTAATTATATAATATAAATAACTGTTATGAAATGATTTTATCAAGCCTCCTATAGACATCCTTGGGCCCTCTCCAATCCTCTGCTCTGCCCTTCAGTTGCTTCATTTCCTGTCTGAGCCGTGGGCCACTGCCTTATTGCACAAACCCTCTGAGCCAGCTCTCTTCTCTCAGGAGCTTACATTTATTTTCCTTTGCAAATGCAAATACCCACCAATTAATAATGTAAACCTCCTTATTAATTCTCATGGAAAAAGTTTTATGTAAAAGTTAAAAAAAAAAAGCTGTATTAGGAAAAGCCCAAAGATCCCAAAGCACCTCATTTAGATGCTCTGTAACTTGAAAAAAGCAATTAGAATGATTCTACAAGTTACTTTTCCTCTTTGTAAACATGCCCAAATAAATAAAATGTTTACACTCAACCAAGCAACAGACCAGTGTGGAGCAAGGAAGGGCAGACAGTGTTGAAGGGCCGCCTGCAAGCGGTTAGACGGCAATGAGATTGCGCGGCCCTGCCAGGCCCGGCCCCGGCACGCTCGACGGTTACGGGACTGACCGCGTGAGGCGATGGGACCCACGCCGTTTATTTGGGCTCCAGTGAAGCATCTGAAGCAGCTCATCATGAACTTTTACTTGCTAATTAATTATAACTGCTTTGAACGAGAGCAGAGGCGTATGGATTGGGGACTGGCTAAAGGATCATAAACAGAAATAATAGATGCGATGAGTCCAAGGGCACGACAAGGGCAACAGGTTTTCACGAGGCTCCAAGTTGTGTCAGTCTTGGTTTATTGGTTGTTAAAGACTATTTTTTCCTCAATAATTTTGAAGTGAAAATGCTTTCAGAGGTACCCAATGTAGTAAACCAGAAAAGCAGTTATTCCTAAATAAAAGGTTTTATATGAATCAATATCTCATGTAGAACTTGTTTGACTTAAGTCAGTTTTTGAAAATGTTATGTTAGAAAATGTGAGGGCAATAGTTACTGTGAATAGAACAGAATCTTTTCAATAGTACCACTTTCTGTTTAGGTATGTTTACATCTTATCTGATTATTAAAGTAGGCTCGATAGCACCTCTCCTAGAAACATATGAAAGAAATAAAACTAATCTTCTAATTTTTTACAAATTATGCTTATACTTTCTCTACATTTGTTCAAATTAAATAGATTTATAGTAACAAGGGAATAGCAGAAGTATAGCAAATTTAAAATATAATATATGTAATACAGATTTTTAACTGGAAGGAGACTCAGCTCTGGAAGTTAGTCTTTTATGAAAGAAGAAAATTACAGATTTATAATGGAATACGTTAGATCAGTTTTTCCAAAATGTGGGCTGCAAGATATTTTAGGAGTTATGCAATAATATTTTAAATTGTATGCAGTTATGCATATTAGGAAAAAACAAGTGATTAAGTCCATGGCATAAATATTACTTAAAATATATAAGTTAAAACAAATAAGTCACCTCAAGAAAAATATTCAGTGAAAAATAATACAGTAGTATAAAATATGGACAAAATTCAGGTATTTGGTAAATGCAAGACTAATGTTTTGCAAATGTTGCAGAGAAAAGGCCAATATGGTGTTATTTATTGAACCAGAGATATTTTTAATTACATGAAATGGTAACATATTGAGATGAAACAGGAATGATTCTCAAGGAAAAGTAAGATTAACGTGATAAACAAATAAACAAAAATAAATTTCAAAGTATTCTATGTAATCCAAACTTTCCCAGCTCCAGCAGACAGCTCATTTAACTAAGATACTCCATTAAAAAATTTTGCATCATAGCTAATGAACCTAAAGAATCTCTTGAAGTTTACTAAGATTTAACCTAATGAAGTGACAGATTCTGACTTATTTACCCTTTCCAATTTTTAATCATTAATGGAGTGAAATAAAAGCATTCTAAACCTAGAATAACAAGAGCTTATTATCACTATTTGCTATGCCTTTAAATGGAAAGAGTATATTAGCTGTTTATAACTCAACCCATAGTCGAATGAAAACTTCTGCTCCATGATTATATCACCATTTATTTTTATTTATAAGCCCTAAAAAGAGAGAGGCACAAGAGAGCTAGAGTAAAATGCACACATTGAGGAAAAAGGCAGATTTGAAAATATTTTATCCAAGTAGAAGCAATGAAAACTTTTGGTTTGCACAACAGCCTCCCAAGGGTGGAGGTAGGACTCACATCACTGGTTACACTTGAAATTCACCCTGTTGAGCATTGAGGCCAACACTGAAGAGAGTATTCCCACGGGGGAGATTAGATGATCTGCCAGCCTTCCCACTTCTTATTTAGATGATTTTGTTGTCCCAATCATCATTCTTTCTGAAAACAACCTTTTGGCAATTTGAGTGTTTTTTAGTTATCTCCTTGGGAGTTGTTTGGCAGTGTTCAGCGAGAGCTGAGCTGTCAGCATCTCCAAGCATGGGGAAATTAGGAAATGGCACGCCATGGGTCCTCGCCTCTCCTTGAACATTACTTGCCCAGGCAGTGTGAATAATTCTCAGCTTTGGAGCGGAAGATAAGCTCCACAGCTTGTCTTACAGATGAAACGGTAATAATGCCATTAACCCTATCTATGAGGAGCTCCCTCTTAACCATAATGATTGCTTTAAATAAGGTCACAACCCTAGCCTTATCATATTTTTGCCTAAAACATTAGCATATGTTCATTGATACACAAATTCTTTCCTGTAGGAAATGTTTCCTAAGTATCTACTCGGTGAGTTGTGCTAGATGTTGAAGACACAGCAATAAAAATATACACATTATTGATGTCCCTGGAGTGCATACTCATACAGATGAGTAATTATAATAAAAGTAATAAGGGCTCTGATCAGAAAGTAACAGATGTTCTGGGATTTATTGGAGGAACACCCAATCCTGCTTCGGTGGTGATCATAAGGGTGATATTAAGAGTATCTCAGAGCAAATTGTGTGTGTGTGTGTGTGTGTTGCATATATACTGATATGTAGTATGTATGGAATATATAATATGGTATAAACTTTATATGTAGCCTATTCTGCTTATATCACATATATGTTATATATAACATGACATACATGTGCTCCGTATCACTATTACTATAATATATGTATACTATATACACTAGGCAAAGAGTGTAGTGTCTGGAGGCTCTAAGGTAAGAGAGTTTGAAACATCGACAGAGTTACAAGGTGTTCGATATGCTGCAGATGCGAGTTTGAGAGGAGGAGGGTGAGCGGTGAGGCGAAATGCCTCCAAATGTTGTCTACTCTGCAACTCCAGGGACTGTCGTCACCCAGGAGAGAGAAGCGGTGATCTAAGTCAGGTTGCAGACAGTGAGGAGGGAAAGAAGTCAATTGAACCAAGAAACATTTAGGAGGCAAATTAGACAAGACTCAGTGATTGGACTTGGGGAGTGAGAGAGAAAGAGAGGAGGTATTTTCCTTGGTCAGTTGGATGGGTGGATGGCTCTGCCCTTGAGAGATGAGGGACACGGACGGAAGAGTCAGCTCAGGCGGGGCAGCCTTCTTAAGGTAGCTCCAACCGGCTGACTTCGAAGTATGAGGGGGACTCCAAGTGGTTATTTCCAGCAGGCAGTTGGACACGCAGGTTTGCAATTCAGGAGAGGAATCCAGATTCGATTATGTTTTAGACAGGTGACAATTTTAGCCCTGAGAGTTGATGAATTCTAAGAGAGAGCGTAGAGACAGAGCAGAAGCTGGCTCAGCATACCCTGAATATCTGCAAAAATAGAACAATAAACCCAAGGGTAGGAGGCTGCCCCACACAACAACTAGCCAGAATGAGGTTTTAGAAAAAGGATCGATATTCTCTCAAGTTAAAAATTAGCATAAAAATACCCATAGCTCCTCAAATTAATTTTATAATCTTAAATTAGAAAACAATGAAAGGTAGATTAGCCTTTTTTCTGATTTTTATAGGCTTGTAGCCATATAATTCTAGATCCCTAATGATTATTAAAGGATATCTACTTGAGTAGATTTTATAATTTACTTTAATAATTCAGATTTTAGCTTAACATCCACGTAATTTATCAAGAACCCATTTCCCAAAATAGTATAGAAATACAGAAACCACAAGTAAGCAGAGGGGGCCAGCTGATATCTATCTGTCTATCTATCATCTATCTATCTATTATCTATCTATCTATCTATCTATCTATCTATCTATCTATCTATCTATCATGTATCTATCATCTATCTATCTATCTATCATCTATCTATCTATCATCTATCATCTATCTATCATCTATCATTATCTATCTATCTATCTATCTATCTATCTATCTATCTATCTATCATCTACCTACCTACCTACCTACCTATCTATCTGTATTTGTATATTCCACAATATATGTGTAATGCCTTTTATAAGCAAAGACAAGGGAATGCTATTGAAAGTATTTCTAAACTACTTATTTAGGGAAATGGATAACAATTAGCTTATTTTTGATAGTTGAAACAGTACTAATTTTCAAGAAATTAAATGAAAACACAGACGAATAAAAAACATAGAAACCCACAACTTATTTAATCAAAATATTAGTTTTGGATTTAAACCTGTAGAAAGACAACTGAAAATGTTAATATGGGTTCCTTTTCTTTTTTCTCAGCCCACCCGTTGGGAAATAACAATGAATAATAGAGTAACACGCTGCAGGCAGAAGGCGGGGCGTGAAAGAGCCAGAGTTCTGAATGAGGTCACTGGTGTCCCAGGTAAGTGACGATCCTTTACCTGCAATTGGCGTTTCCGGTGCCTTGGGTAAATGAGGGGAGGTGACTTTCGTGGAAGCGTTGTACGTCATGGCTTACATTGCATGGACGATCCAGCACGGTCCTGCAGGTTGCTTTGCATTTGAAGATGAAGCTCTTTTGATCGCTGGCATGTGGCTGTGTATATAGAAACCCCAAACAACTGGAGCAATCAGTCCATCAATTGGTTATTTTGTTTACACAAAATCAAAAGGGTTAGTTTGACTGATTCCCCCTGCTTGGATGTTTGGGCATTAAATATGTAACCCAGATGTCAGCTGCGCCACCTTGGATTCCTGGAGATCTAGATAAGATTGTCTTGAATCTCGATACCCACCTTGTGGGTGGAAAAACACTTTCAAATGCCATGCGCTAAGAACTTTTGAATATTGGAGACTTCACGGTATTATGAGATGCTGCTGGGTTAACATTTGTTGTATGTGTGGAGCTGAGAGCTAAGCTTCCCTGGCTGCTGTTGAGCATTTATTGGAATTTCTTATGAGAGTACATTTGACCGGGGAGTTTATTGCTCTGGACTGGTTTTGATTCTGTGCCTGCTCTTTGTTTTTGTTGTGGAGGTTTATTTGCTGGTTTAACCCATCCAGCCCTGTGAGAACATTCAAGTCAGACTATTGTTTCCAGACCCAGGCTGTGCAATGACACTGGGGGCAGCTGGGGGCAGGTGCTCAGGGCGCCTTGGGCATCAGCTGCACTGTGACAGGTGACTGGGCAACGCCCAGCGCGGAGCCCATGTACCATTGTCACTTCTCATTGAGGTTAAGCTTGGCTGCTCTTTCCTGGTTTATTTTATATGTGACAGTTTTACAGTTGACAATGTTACTAGACACTTTCAGTGGGTTCTTTTTCGGTCTAACTTTTATCAGCAATGTATTTTTCTAACAGGAGAGGTAAAATAATTACCCTTAAAACTAGAAGTGGACTTTTGATTTTAAGAAGAAAAACTAAGGGTTGACGCTGGTGTGATGAGAACGATTAGGCTGAGATCTGATAAGCTGTCGCACAAACTAGTTTCACAACTCGTGGGAAATACCTTGAAAGCAGATAGGACGGAACGGTAACAGCTTCTTTCTCTGTTTTTCTTCATTTGTTTGTTCCTGTCTCTGCCCTAAGTTATGATGCGGATCACAGGGCCTCAGGATCGGGGTGAGAAGTCACCTGCTGAACAAAAGGACAGCTCTGAAGGTTTAAAAAAATGTTAATATGGCCGCATAGCCCGACTTGCGTGGCCCTGAGTAGGCACGAGCCTCCCCGCTCCGCAGGCCCCCTGCTGCTCGGTGGCTCCTCCTGTGTCTCCCGCACTCCAGGCTCTGATGGGAGGGTCAGGGCCCTGGGCTTGAGCTGAGGGGGCCGCGCCCTTCCCTTCAGCGATGCCGACGGCCAGGGGGTGAAGCTGAAGTCGTATCTGGACGATACTCCTAGGCATCCACTTGGCCTGACTTTACCAAAGTTAGCCAGGGGGCCGAGGAGAATGGGCCGAGCAAGCCCCGGCTTCCCGGGTTCTGAGCTGCATGTCTCACCTCCCTCCTGGCTTCCCGAGCTCCCTACTAAGTGGGTGCGCTCTGCCTGGCTTGGTAAGTGGGGTGTCAGCTCGGAGAGCCTTTATGTCCCAGGTGGGGGGACGCGGCATCTGGGCTCGTGTCCCCCACGTGGGGGGAATGGGGTGCACCCGCTGCTGGCTGCCAGGAACCAGAAGCCTCTCCCCACACGGCTGGTGGCACACGGGCCCAGCCACTGACACGCGCAGCTGGAGCGGCCTTTGCAAAGGGTCCCCCTCACTCTGCTTCCCTGGAGGCTGGGGGGCGACAGTTTCCCGTGGCAGGTTGGCTGTAAAGACGCACTGCCTGCCTGGGGGGTGCTGTTTGCCTTCGAAGGTTGAGGGCCGCATGGGCACAACATAGTAACTGGGTGTTTCATTTTCAGGGGCAGTAAATTATGTGACTCTAGGAAGACATATCATGGAAACATCATCGCTATAGATGAACAGACTCAGGGTAATTAGTAAACAGCGCAGTTAGAAAGGGAAATGAACAGGATAAACGTTCATAGATGCCTGGGGAAAGAGAGTAATACACTTTAAAATCTTAAAAATTTGAGTACACATATTGAAATTTAAGTAATGGATATTATTTTTACTCTTTGGGATTAGATGCAGAATTCCAGAGGGGGACCGTTTTGTTTAGTCCTGAGCTTATATCTACCTACCTTTCTATCCATCCACCCACCATTCATCCATCCATCCATCTGGCCACTTATTTTGTATTTAAAGTGTTCTTTGCTTTTCTTAACGGTTTACCACTTTATCCACATGAATTTTTTTGAAACCTGACAACTGAGGAAAACTGCTCTGCAGCCAGCATAGTGCCTGCGACTTCCGCTCTAAGAAAGCCAGCTGCTGGGCAGGACTGTCTCAATGGGTGGGCGGCAAAAGTACACAAAATAAAAACAAAAAAATGAGAATTTTATTCTCCAGCTTGTATGAACCCATAAAGTCCTTCCTTTAGTCAAGAGCTTGCTCATTCTTGTGTGTCATCACCTTTTTTTTCTTAAGCATTTTGGGCGACATAAGCTGGAAAGCATTATCTGATCTCAGAATGGCACCAGGGCCCAAGGCAGGAGGAAAAGTGGGAGCAGCTTCCTGGACGCGAGTGCACAGGGATGTCCTGTTGCACGGAACTCGAATCAGCGAAGAGTGTTTGAGAAACCCCAACAAGTGAGCAAATTAAATAAAACCTGCTGTGTTTGCTGTTTTACAGACCATTAGCTATTCAAGTATCCACAATAAAACAAATGGTCTGTCCTCCCCGTTTCAGATGATTCCGTGAGTCTAAAGACTGGCCAGGCTACTTTAGATAAGATTTAATACAAAATAGATGTCACTGACATTTATTGGAATATTGGCATTCAGTTTAATTAACATGTGAAACATGCCTCTGTAAAACCCAGCACATGACCATGGTTATTTTCAAACCAGAATGAGAACAGGCAGGCAGATCCTTTGTGGTGTAATTGTACATATTCTTTCCTAGTGAATACTTTGAAAAACAGATGAAATGCAGAATTTGCTGCTTTCAAAAATCTTAACAGTTGTAGGCTGATTCTTGGGGATTCTGTGATGAGTGACTTGGACCTGATATATTTCACGGAAACTGGAAGTAGTGGATCCAATTCCTTGATTGGTGATGTTATAACTGACACTGGGGACATTATTTGGTTTCACTGAGGAATTTGGACTCAATAGGCCTGGTAGAGTCTGGGAATCTATATTTTTATAAATATATTGTATAATGTATTTTATATTCCAGACATGTCTGGAAATCCTGCCAGTCAAACCTTTGCCAGAGTATGTATGTGATTTGTGACTAGTTTGTAAACTGAAACATGATTGATTTAATGTGCAGTCCCAGTTCCTAACGGTTTTGACTCCTCTGTTGAATTCATGTATTTGTGCCTGTTTAGAAAATGATGCGTAAAAATAATTTCCATCTTCTCCATACTTTCTTAGCTCTTACCCTTTCGAGTTGATGCAAAAGCCACTACCTCCAGGTGGCCTTCTGTGATCGTAATAGCTGGAAGTAATCTCTTCCTACACTGATAGGAACTGGTCTCCTACGAAAGTGATTTCACTAATGTGCTTTTTGGTGTCCTACGTGTTTCTATTTTAGGAACATGTTTTTCAAAGTATTGTGGAGCCTGCTATTAGGGTTTTCTCAAGGACATTACCACAGAGTGTCATCATGAGGATCAGAACAAATTTTTTTCATAAGAATATTTGTGTTTTGCTGCAAGTATGTCAGAATAATTAGGAGCATGGGTTTTGAAGCCAGACTGCATATATTAATAGCCCAGCGTCATTACTTACAAGCCGTGGAATCTTGGTCAAGTCACTTAATCTCTTCTGCCTCATTTTCTTCATCTGTAAAGTGGGGCTGAGTATAATGCTTCCCCAATAGGGTTATTATGCGGGTTAAGTGAGTTGGTTTATGTAATGCTTGGAATAACACCTGGCGCTTTGTAGTTACTGCATCAGGTGTTTGCTATGATTATTTCCCCTAAGTGCTTTGTTTTGATATTATAAATTCTGAGAATTAGCCCATCAGTTTTCTCTCTTCACATTGACTGAAAGTCGATTTAAAGCCAAGTTTGTGAGGTGCCCTACATTAGGGAAGGGACATCTTTACCTTGTCACTGGCCCAACTCTATCTCTTCTATGGCATTTTTTAATTTCTCACTTCATTTATGCAATCTTGTGTAACTTTATGAATTCGTAGGAGCTTCTTAACACTTTTTCTGGAGAAGGGTAGAGTATGGAAACATAAACACATACACCTTCTCTCCTTCCTGCTGCGACCTGAACTGCGCGACGTAGGGAGGGATGAAGGACATCTTCGTTCTAAGAGAAGGCCGACTAGAAGAGTTGACAGGGAGGAAGGACGGAGAAAAAGGAGCGTTGCTGTCTGTCAGTGACAGCTCCCCCCGTGCTTTGCTGTCATGTGGGGAAACCCGCACAGGTTCGCGTCGCTGTCTGGCGTGACCTTGCCCGTGACTGTCAGCCCGATCCTCCGTGCGTGGCAGGGAGGGAGCTTCCCGCGCCTCTGAGCGACATCGCAGGAGAACTAAGCCCTCGATTTGCAAGCTCAGTGCCGTCGCATTGAAATAGCCTCAGGCCTGTGCAGGCCAGCTGTTCATAAGGGCTCTTTTTTAAAAAAATGTCCCGAGTAGCATTTTTAAGCTGCTGCTCATGCTGACAGTTTTAACCATAAGAACAAGAAGACCGGCCCGCTGCGCCCCCTTTGGAACAGCGCTGGGTGCGGAGGGCTGTCTCCGCCCTTGAACTCTGCCAGCCGCTCGGAAGGTCCCTAAGCCACAGCTCTCCTGCACGAGGGCCCGCCTGTGGTCGGGGCTGTCATCTGGACCCGTGATGGATTTATGGCGCAGCCATCGCC